ACCGATCCCCTTGCTCACCCCTAGCTCAATCTATGTGGACAGATATAACCTAATCCCATTTCCATCTCCAGTAGTTCCTTTTCAAAGAGAAATTGATCCCATCCAATTGCCCTAAAACCATTTCCCCCAGTAATTAAGACTTAGGAGAGGCAGTGCAGCTTTTTAGAGCAAGCGGGGAGCATAAAAGCCAGGAGGAGGAGGCATGGCCACGCAGGGCATCTCAGAGGACCAGCCTGGGGCCCCATGAGGGTCCATGAAAGAGAACGGACCATCCAGTGCTGGGAAGGTGGGTGACAGTGTGTGTGTTACCATATACTTGGACAGCAGTCTCCGTTCCCTGAGAGCCAGTCCTTATGCAGCCCAAATGACACCATCCAGGCAGAAGAGGGAGGCTTGGAGGCGCTCCCAAGGTTTGCAGAAACAGAACAAGACTTTAAGGAAGCCCAACCGTAGAAAGTGATAGCATCCTTAAAGAAAGCCCTGAGGCCCAAACAGGCTTTGTGGCAGCAGAATATCTAGAGAAAAAAATGGAAGAGGGAGGATGGATTGTAGTTTCCATTTTGTTGAGATGGTCTTTTTTAGGATCATCTTAGAGGGGGCGGGAAGGAGTCGAACTGGCTACAGGATACCTTGTATCCCGGCCTCTCCAGTCAGCCCCCCTCCTCAACCACCAAAACACCCTTGATCCCTTTCTGAGTTTGCTTTCTTGACCTTGGAGAGAAGCCACCACAGTTCTTTCCACACCAGCTGTGAGGGGCAGTGAATGCGACCCCAAGGGCTGATTTCCCGCTCCAGGAGCAGAGACTTGCCTCCCACTCAGAGAGGGAAAGCCCAAAACTCATACAACCCCTCAGCTGCTAGTTGGGGTGCATAGGACTGCTCCCTTAAAAGAATAAGTGTCCATTCAGTGTTATGACTTTTAATTTCTGAATATAGATTCTTGCTGAATAATTCACTGGTCAGTAAAAATAAGTTTTAATGTGCACCAAAGAGGAGAAGAAATGCATCTCACAGTCAAGTATTTCTGACAAGCAGAAGACTCATTAAATTTGATTACAGTCATATTCCATGATGAGAAAAAAGGCTTAATGGGCACAGTGCATTGTTATTCTTTTTCAGCAATTATAATCCATTATGTGCTGGCAATGAAATGCACACATCTCTGTGTGTGTTAGTCTTCTGAACATAAAGGCCATGGCATATCTCTGCATAAGGAAGGGACAGTAAAATGCAGGCACCCTTGTCATAAAGCTGCATTTATGGTGTAATCCTGTGCTTGTTTAGACAGGACAAAATCCCTGCAACTAAAGGCTTTTCCCAGCCAGCACTGGGGAATGTGTCCAACAGAGTACCCAATGGGCACCAGTCTGCCCACAGATCTCTCTTGGTGCCTGCCAAGCTTTCTACCACTCCTGATTTTTATTTCCTATGATTCTTTTTAAAAGGTATTTTTATCTTATCTGCTATGCTGCAAAGGAAAGGGCTGCCCTTAAGCATCATTCTTATTTGAGGTTAAAAGAGTGGTTTTGTGTTTTGGAGATCATAAACTCATCTCTGCCTTGCACTTATAGAGTCTTGAACAAATGTCTTTCCTTTTTTTTTTTTTTAGTTTTGCCAGTATGAACGCTGGGAAATACGTGTTTTGTGACTGGCAGTCATGCCCAGCAGGGTAGCCAGAATATGAAGTAATATTGTGAAAGTTTGTGATACATTTGCAAAATTCCACATGCGCCCACTGATCCATAAAGTGAATGGAAGGCAAACCATTTGGCATCTTGGACTGGAGCTGTAGGGGGCAGCCATGAGAGAGCTCAGGACCAAATCAGGCCGTGATTGGTCTGTTGACTGTCAACCAAGAGACATAGAAGGCATGTGGAAGGATGTCTGTGGCAATGGGGCTTATGCCCATCCACTCTGCAGTCAAGGATGAGGAGGTCCTTCCACCTGCAACTCCACTCATTCTACTCACATCGTAGCACATGGAGCAATGAATTTAAACTTCAGCACACCAGGTGCAGGGTAGACATGAGGAAGACGTTCCCAAATGTCAGAGCAATATGACAGTGAAACCAGTTGTGTGCTCTTCCACAGTACAGGAATTCAAGAAGAAAATAGACAATTATCTGAGTAGGATGGTGTAACTGGAGTCCTGCGCCAGCAGTCTAAGTGTATGGCTTTTGCATCTGGCTCTCCTCAGTAGATCCTGGGGTTCTAGTTAAAAACAGAGTAACGCCAAGGAATCTGACACCTGCCCACTCCAGGTACAATTCATGAGATGAAAAAGAGTTTCAGAAAGGAAGTGAGAGATGTGTCCTAATTTATACTGAATCAAGTCTTTCCTCCAAAGAGCCTGCTACTGAGAGAAGAAAGCACCTGGTGCTCTAACCACTGGATACGACAAGCAGGAAGATTTCTGAGATTAGCACAGACATCCCCAGCCTGAGGCCCAACAGATGTGCTGGGTGACTCCCAGCAGCAGCACCCTAACTCTTCTGGAGAGCCTGGGAAAAACTGATCGTTCCTCCTTAAGCATTCTTTGGAGGTTGGGCTTAAACTGGAGAATACAAGGAGCTTTTCAGAGAGGTCACAGGCACTTTCATCAGGAGGCAGCTGGTTATGCCCAGCCTATCCTGGCGTGTTCTGGTAAAATTTATGAGGGTGGTAAACCTGCTCCTGAAAACAGCAGGGAGAAGTGGTGTGTTATGAGCATCACTTACATGGAGCTGGATGGTGTTCCTTTCAGGCCAGGTGTCTACAGATGTGGTAAAATAAGCTTTATGAACATAAAAACTGCTCTCCTGGGTCAAGCCAAACTCATGTCTGGAATGGTGTCCTGAGCTGGTTAGGACATTTATGGCAGCACAGCACATGGTAGTAACAAGCATTCCAGTCTCCAGCAACCGGTTGGTGTGCAGTCCAATCCTGCACAACTTTATTCAGATGTGAAGCTAATTTATTTCAGATGGGCTTGTTCCTGAGTTAAATTTTGTGGAAAGCTACCAGTAGGAAATGCCAGCAAGTGCCTTCCCATTCGTGAAGCATGAACCCAGACTGCCCGAGTCCCCAGTCCTGCACTCTTAATCATTACACCACCCTGGCTCTCTCTGCATATAGACTGAGCATTTTTCTTATGGCCAGCTCTGCTACTTTGCTTAAGTCTGGTAATTTTAAAGGTAGGATCAAACTTCATCCTTAGAACGTAAGAAAATATTGTGCTACTATACATGTACAATCTTTAGTTGAGTCTTTGGAAATATTCTATTATTGTATTATTTTATGGAATTTATCTATTTTATTGTTGTTTCTATAGTGGAACTGTACATGGCCCAGAGAACCCATGCAGGCCTATAGGCATGGTTTATACATTTCTAAATAAGCAAGCCAGCCAGCCATGATGGATCAGATCAGTGGTCCATCCAGTCAAGGACTTTGCTCACACACTGGCAAAACAGCTGCCTGCAAGATCCCTCAAGAAGGTTAGGTGCAAGACTTCCATGTGCCCAAGCTCCTCAGCAACATGTGTGTGCAGGCATGCCACCTCTGGTAACAGAGGCAAGGGGGAGCCAGCAGGACTCATTTTATTCCCCCAGACTTATTTTATAAGCCAGCATTCCTACCTGCTTTGATAGAACAGCACAAATCACTGAACAAGCATTCTCCTACAGAAACAGCTGGCTTGGTTTCTTACTATTTGAATTTGAGCACCCTTACTTTTTGAATGTGAACTAATCAACACGAACAGTAAAACTTAAAAGCTTCTTTTACTCAAGGGGCTGGCAGTGGGAGAGGAGCTACCTCTGTAGGTCCTCTGCAGAGTGGATTTGCTGAAGCCTGTTCATTGCACCAAAGCTCCTTTGATTCAATTTCCAGTGGAGCAAATACAAGAGTCTTGGAGCAGCTTAAAGACCACACTTTTATTCCAGCCTAGGCTTCCACGGACACCAGATCTAATGGAAGTGGAGTTTAAAGAAGTTAAAAGATTTAATAAGATTTAAAATTTTAAGGTGCCACATCTCTGTTGTCCCCTTTGATACAAGTGTAACACACCACCCACTGTACCAGTCAGTCCCTCAGCTCTGCAGAGCAGCAGTATTGGAGGGTCCTTGAGAAAGAGCATTTGTGCTTGTTTGTTAGCTCTTGACACCAGCGTAACTGTTCCGATAATGTCAGAGCAATGCATGTGGCATAACCTTTGTTTTTTGTAAGCTGTCCAGAGACTTTGGCATTGGATGGTGTATTAAAAACTTAAATAAATAAATAACCTCTCTAGGGTTGCGAGTCAATCACATGGTTCATAAAAATGCCCCAATTTCCTTCATGTAGAAAAGCAGCACTTCAGCTGGAAGACTATGCAGGCATTTGTCTTTGTGCAGCTGCTCCATTTCCAGCAGGAGAAAATTCACAGGGGACATTTGAGCAAGTAATTCCCCTCCGGCTGTCTGAAGTAGTCCGGTCCACAGAATTTCACCATGTGATTTCCTTGGATGTGCAGACTGACCTTTGCAAGCAGACGAAACTCTAGATAGAAGTCCTACTGTGAATGGTGGGACAGTCCTACCATGCATATGATTGTGGCCAAAGCAGATTAAGCAATATTTAAGTAGATAAAGTCAATCAATTAACGAAAAAAAAGTAATTGATAGCTTTCCAGTCTAGTTGCTCATACAGGCTAGTAAAAGGATCACTTATTTTCCTGTACTGGGAAAGCAGCAACTGGCTTCAAGCTGCTAGCACTTATATGGGGTTGTTAAGTCTATTCGTTTTAATTGGCCTAGTCTATGTAAGAATAAAACTGGATAAAATTCAGGAAGCTCAGCCTTTTGTTATTCCTGCATTCATATTATAAAGGTACTGGAGTGAGGGAGATGGGAATTAAATATAATTAATAAAGCTCTGCATTGCAACTGCAGTACAGGAAGGTGGGGTGTGATTGAATTGACACAGCAGGATTTGAGGTTAGGCTACTTGAGGCTCAAAAATGAGAAGACAGGTCATCATAGTTTGAAATACAGCAGCCACGAGGCTTTAATCAGGCGCTTTTTTCCATGCACAGCAACAACCCCCTGGTGTTGCTCTTATGCTGCACCCTGAGTCTATAATATGGCAAGAGAGGAAATTAAAGATGAAACTTAAATAATAATTTACTTGCTCATCATTGATACAAGTTCACAGTATTACTCATCATTACTCCCAATGCTAGGCCAGTGTATTGAAAAAAGGTAGAATAAAGTGCACAGAAGTTTTCTGAAGCAGTTCTACAGAATCTCTCTAACATACATTTACAGCACAAATTGTAATCATTTTCTTATGATCCCAGTGCAGTTGGTGTTTGCTGTACAGGGATTCAGCATCATTTCCAGAAATTTGGCAGTCTTTTGTGTCAAAGCATGTGGCGTTTTTGTGTTGGAAGTCTTAAGACAGTGAAATGTATACTTGATAGACACATCCTGTGAAGCTTCAGTGCAGCACGAGATCCTGTCTTCCTAAATTCTCTGAGTTAAGTCTGGATTTGATGCATCAGCTTGTGCAACTCAATGCCATCCAGTTACAATAATTCCTGTTCATCGTCTTCAGATCCAGAGGGTCCTTGTCGCACCTCCTCATACCATTTGTTGGTGAGGGTTTTCATCTGTATGCGTCCATGATGTAAGTCCTAAGGCAAAGAAAAATAATAACTTCTTAGCTTACAGTGACAGCACTTTTATCTTGCTTACATGTGAAGTAGGGCAGCTTTAGTTGTGAGGTGCATATCAATTAAGCAAGGCTGACAGACAAATTCTGAACAAAGAAGAAAGCAAATGGAGAGAGCAATTCTATGGCTTCTGTGCAAAATTTGAGAGGCCATAAGATGTTGAATTCCCAGGGCCAAGGGGCTCTGACTTGGAGCGGGGAACTGAAGTTCTGGCTTCCTTTCACCTTGCAGCCAGCACGGAGAGCGCGGAACTGAATGCCTCTTTGCGGGTGGAATGCAAATGCAGAGTGGGTGAAAGATGAGCGAGGCCAGGATATGAGCCATCAGGCATCCCCAGCTTCCTTCTCTCCTGCTCCTAAATGCTCTAGACAGGCAAAGCGCCACAGCAAATGCAGAGTGGGAGGATGGGGAGGTGAAGCTGCACCTCTGCTGCTCTTCCCAGTCCTAGTTGAGGGGTTTGTGGGACCAAGCCCTAACTCAACTATGAATAACGTCATTCCATACCACTCAATCAAGGGTGAAATCCCCAAGCCTAGAGGCTAAATCCAGCCTCACTGAGGTCCCGAGACAGCCCTCTGGAGTTGCCAAATAGACTCATCCCCTTTCCTGACCACCAATTGTTTGGGTTATCTCTGAACAGTTTCTGTACAATGCCCCCGCCCCACATTTTGAACAGCTGAAATGCCTTTCCTAAGGCTTCATTACTGTAGGTCAGGGATTTCAGTTAGAATACACTGGTATCTTTGACACTGAACCTTCTGCCCCACTCCCTTTGGCTTTGGCCACCACTGGAATGAGGCTCCTGAGAGTTTTTCTGAAATGTAATTCAGGCTTTGGGTTGAAAGAGGTTCAACATGTTGGCACCAAGCATCACTATAGCTTGTACTAGTAGGCTGTCAAAAAGAAAGTCCAGTGGCAGCCATGACAGTTATGCTAACTGGCTAAACCAAATTGCCTGGACAGGGAATTCCACTGGTTCTGTCTCTGTGAAACCTTCTCTCTGGTAGCCTTCTGAGCTTCTGAAAATGGTGGGGAGAAGGCATTCCTCAGAAAACTGCAACTAAAAAATGGGTTCTCTCACGAGTATGCAGTTTTCAGAAGGTACTTGTGATGAAGAAGGACTACGTTGCCTTAGCAGCTCTACCTTATTACCATTTAATGCTTGCACGGAACCTATAAAGGCTACCTTAGCGTAGCCAGCTCAGACACACCAAGTGTACGACGGCTGTGTCTGAACAATCATACCTCTGCTTAATAAGTCAAGATACTCCTACCTTCAGAACAAGTGTAAATTGAGCCAGGCACCACAACCAACCACAGATTCCAGTATTGTCTGTGTAGGAAACTGTGGTTGATGGCTTCCAAACAAGCCAGGATATAATGCCAACTTTGAACCATGGCTTCTTATGCCGGCTAGTTTGGAAATTGTTGACCATCCTTCCCTGGTTCAGTTGTAACAGCAGTTTCCTGGCTTGTTTCCCTGCTTGCATGAAGAAAAGCTCAAAGCAACTGTAAGGATAGGTATAGAAGGCCTAGTTATATTTCAGTATATTCATAGAAGAGGTGGAAGGAGCCGAGAAGGCCATATGGTCCAACCTCCCTTGATGCGGTACTCCTTCAGATGGCTGTTCCTGCGTCCCGAATGCTTCCAGAGTGAGGGAGAGCCCACAGCCTCCCTAGGTGATTGGTTCATTGTGGTATCGCTCAGAATCTGGCTGAGATCTGATCACCCAAGTATGGCCACTGTACCTCTGAGAGTAGAAATGGACTGCAGGTTAACTTGCTATGGCAGTCACTTCAGTGGGACCTACCTCCTGTGTGAGCCTTCTGGTAAAGAAAGGATTCAGGTATTTGACATCAAGCCACATGAAGCCTTTGAGGTCCTGGCGCTTTATGTAGTGGGCTTCATACTCTTCCTCTGTGAGTTCAGACAAGTGCTCAGATTCAATGGTATTACCCTAGAGAGAGCAGAGAAGGGGGTGGATCTAAACTAATTGCTTCCATGGTCACTCCTTTCCCATTTATTTATTTTATTTGATGGGGCCAACTTGACAAAGTCATCAACAACTCTATAATGACAGAAACACAGGCATCGATGTGATCAAAAGAAAGGCACAATATCTAATATTGTAAGCCGTCCCGAGATGCTGAGGGATGTGGTGACGAGATATAAAAGTTTTAAATAAATAATATAAAAATAAAAGTTACAGTCAAGGAATGGAACATCAACATACATTTCAAGAACATGCTTTCATGATGTATTCATGCCTGCCACAGACTTTAATTAGTTCCGCTTTGTGGCATCTGGTAGTTATCACTTTGCCAATCATGGAGAGAAAGAAAGCAGCAAATGTATTTGTTAATACCTGCTATAAAACCAGCCAAGGTACTTGACCAAGTTGCTTACCTCTTTGGGGACTATAGTGTCTAGCTGCATTTCACCTGAACTGCATTTGTACCACAAGGCTTGGAGTAAAAGGGAAAGAGAAAACAACACCCCTACTCTAATTGACAAATATCACAAATGAGCCCATAAAAAAGATGCGTTTCTGTGCACCTGAACATTGTGCCTATCCTTGGTTTAGGAAAGCAAGTTGGGTTCCCTAACCATGGTTTGACGTTTCTCTAAACCACCGTTAACTTTAACCACCGTTTATGAGTAACATTAGTAATAAAATCGGAACTGAAATCTTTTGATCACCTCCCCATGGCTTCACCACAGGAGCTGATGGGAGGTCTTCAGTGAAAATTGCCAATCAACGCCCACAGTATACAGAGCAAACACTTTTTCTGCATAAAGTGTGGATTCACATTAGTCTTGGGCTAGGGAGAGGTCATAGCTCTCTTCTTCCTAATCTCCTGGTATGGCTAGGAAAAATTCATGCCTGAAATCCTGAAGAACTGCTGCCAGTCAGTACAGGGGAAGGCAACCTGTCATTTTCCAGATGTTTTGGATTGCAATTCTTATCAGCCCCAGCTGATAAGGGCTAAGTATGGAAGCCACAGTCCAAAACATCTAGAAAGCCTAGAAACCTTGCCTTCCTCTAGTACACTCCATAGTGGGTTAGATATTCCAATTATCTGAGTCTCAGGCAGCTTCCTGTAAAAGCACAATCCTGTGAAATTTTAGAAAAATGGCCTACAGTTCCCAGCATGCTCTGGAATGTTGGATACTGTGTTTTTCTCTGTCCAAAATTGCACAGGATTATTTGTTATTATCTCATTTATATACCACTCCACAGCTGAAGGATAACAGAGTTGGCACCAGACAGGCCTCAATAGGAGACTGTTCCATAACCAGGGCCCACCACTTAGAAGGTCCACTTTTTCACTGTGACCAACCAAACCTTTCCAGAGATGGTACTCAGAAGAAGGCCTCAGATGCTGAGTGTAGTGTACAAGTAGATGCATGCTGGGAGAGGCGCTCTGACAGGTATCGTGCTCCCAAAATATATACGACTTCATAGATTAAAACAAGCACCTTCAATCATGCTCAGAACTGTACAAGCTGCAAATGTAAGCAAGTCAGAATTGAAGTTATATGCTCAGCCATTCTGATCCCAGTTATCTGTCAGGCTGCAGAACTTTGCACAAGCTGCAGTCTCTGAACAGTGTTTGAGGGCTGCCCCACATAGAATGCACTGCAGTAATCTAATTTGGAGATTATCAGTGCACAGATTAGGAGTAAAGTTGTTGTTAAGATGAACTAGAATCAGAAAGAGTTTCTTCAGGAACAGTCCCATCACTGCTTCTTTAAGGCAGGATGGGGCCATTCCCTTTTGTAAGGCACCATTAACCATCTCTCTGGCCCAGCCAGCTGTTCTTTCCCTGCTAGTATTTGTAAGCCAAGAGTAGCAAGCATCCAGTACAGATGTGGTTGCATAAACCTGCCCAAGCACCTTCTCAACATCCTCAACTGAAAGTCATCCCAGAAAATTTGACCAGGCTATGCTGTTGGTACCCCACCTGATTCTACTGCTGGAGTAGAATCAGGAGGAGTCTAAGTCCTGTTGCATGTCAGAGATCTTGTCCTGGAAGTGCTTAGCAATATATTATAGCAGGCTATGGATGGTTTGCAATATCCTTGGGGCCAGCATGCGATACATCCTGGACAGATTTACAAAGCTCTGCTGAGCAGCAGAGGGAAGACTGAATAGAGGTAGAGAGATGCTGCTGCTTTGCAGAAACCTTTCCTCTATGCGCCCTACATTTTTTTCTTTTCTCCTTTTTTCGGTAAAAAGTCATTTTCCCAATATTGCGGTCTGCTCTGAGCATCTTGGTCCTTGCTCTCAGGACAAGACAGCATTTTAGGTAGGACCCGTGCTTCTGCTTCTGCTCCGGCAAGATAGTGGTTTTAAATAAGCACTGGCCTTTCAGGAACTCACTCCACCTTCTTCCACATACAATTGTGCATTTCCTCAATTCTGAACTATAGGCCAGCAATTTAGAGCTGCTGCTTATCACTGAAATACACCCTGCCCTCTCGAGTGAAGTGTGAGTCACCATCCCTTTATGTGTGACTCAGTCTGTCACAGATATTGCATAAGTTATCTCACATAAACATGGCTTACTTGTCTTGATTTACATTACATTCACTGCTCGAATCCTGAAATAGGGCTCTCTTGAACACTTGGTTATAGTACAGAGAAACTGCACGGAACAATATTCTGGAGACTGGCTATTCTCTGGCCCCCAAGCCTTCCTCAGCCTCAATTCACAAAGAGTCATCAAGTTTTATGAATGCATAGCACACTTCATCTTGCAACAAAAGGAGCTCACCATTTTTTCTGTCTTGCTGAGGTTAATGTCCTTCTTGTTCCTGCGCCGCGCTTTAGAGTCCTCAATATCGATCAGCCTGATTAAGGGCATGGTTCCTCCACCCAGCAATAAGATTGTAAACAACACAATGATGATGGTTGTGGTGCCAATAAGCTGGCGCTTCTCTATGGGCTCCAAGCCCAAGTGGAGGCTCAAGGCATAAGGAATTGCCCCACGCAGGCCTAACGAACAGGGGGAAAAAGTGCCAACACAGTTCGGCTTCTTTCTCATCCAACAGGGTTTGGAAGCCACTTCAACCATTTTGTCTTAGTTGCTTTGAGATCAGACACATGCCATGACCAGCGCAATAACGGCCACCAAATAAAAAGGGGACAGGACAAATTTGCATAGGAAAATGTCTAGTAGCCACAATGGCTACATATTTCCTCCAGGATCAGATGTAATATGTCTCTGTATACCATTTGCTGAGGAACATAAGAAGGTTGCTACTGCATTCATGTGTCCATACTGCATTTATGCTCATTCATCCCATTACCCTTTATCCCACTCCACTGCTTTTTCTGGCATTTAGCCATTGGAGGTTGCTATATACCAGCGGTGCAAACTCTGACGCCAATCAGCCAATTTGGTCCCAATGTGACCCACATGTTATTCTGTTTCGTTCCCTAACCCTAACCCTAACCCATTTCCCCATGATCACCAGTGCTGGCAGTTTTCCCAGTTGAGTTTTTTTCTCATTCTAATAGATTAAAATGTTCTTCTAAGTCTTTGCTACCAGCAGTAAGAGCTTTAAGTTAGATATTCCGGCATTTTTGTCCACAGCTGAAATGCAGCCCTCAAGATCTTTCCCAAAATAGAATTTAGATGTTCAGCTCAAAGAGGTTCAACATCCCTGCTGTACAATGAGTTAGAATGATGCTGCATTTAGCCCAGGGTTACCTCCCCGGACTAGCAGTAGCTCTTCCCTGCTCTTCAGCAGAGGTCCTTCCCAGAACCTACTATCTGGCCCTTCACTGGAGATACCAGCAAAAAATCCTGGTCTCTTCTGTGTATGAAGCATCTGCTCTCCCACTGAGCAATGCTCCCACCCTGTTTTTGAAGTGTGAGGGACAATCTCTTCAATGGGAATAACATATACTTTGTCAGCTCCTCAGGGCCGGGACCTGTCTTACTGTTCACATTGCTCACATTATTCTGAAAACTGTCATGGGTATCAATGCAGCTAATCAACAGCAGCAAACATAAACTCATATATGGAAATAGAACGCTTACCGCTAAACCACATGATGAACATCATTTTGGGGGTGATCTTGTGATCCCGGAAGAAATTAAGCAGGTAAGAGAGAGGGAAAATATTGACAGCTCTGCCAAAAAGCACCAGCACCTGTCAAAGGCAAGCAATTTAGCCACTGGGCTACAAGGAACACTTACAGACACTTCAGAACAGTTCATGCTGGAAACAGTTTGGGAGGACAAGGGTCCTGACACAGACTTCAGAGGAGCTCCCAGCTAGAGCCACTGACATTCCATTAGAATAGACCTCCCCGATCTGGCACTCTTCAAATGTGCTGGACTCCCAGCACAGCCAGCTGGGGGATGCTTGGAGTTGTAATCCAACATATCTAGAGGGCATTAGGTTGGGAAAAATTGCATTGCAATGAGCCAGATACAAATTACAGGGTGAAGACTACTAAGGAGGGGGAAGACTACTAATACCTACTTATACTTACTATGCACCAAATGACAAAGGACATTTCAAACTTGTGAGGAAAGCTGAAAATTGACAAACCCAGAAAGGCAAACACACACGTTTCTGAAAGAGAGAAAGAGGGGGAAAGTCAAACACTATTAGGCAGGACAGTTCAAAGCTATGCATATGACCCTTTGCACCACTGGTGTATTAACACTGGATTCATTTGCCAAGTCCAACAGTATGGGGGGAATTTAGAGATGTGGCTGATATGTATGAGCTGCATATATGGTACAGAGAGAAAAGAAGAGATACTTTCAATGTGCCTGACAGTGTTGCTTCCTATTTATTTATTTCATTTCTATACCACCCAACAGATGAAGTTCTCTGGGCAGTTCACAGTTGCATGTTTTAAAAATATAAAACATATAAATTAACACATATTAAAATATCATACAAGTGAGCAATACAAAATGTAAAACCAAATAAAATCAGAAAAAAACAAAATTATATGTTTAAAAGACCCTGTTAAACAACCAGCAGGTCCCAGTATCTAATTAAATGTCTTGCAGTAGAGGATGGTCTTTATATGGTCCCAAAAAGATAGTAATGTTGATGCCAGGAAGGCCTCAGTGGAGAACTTGTTCCATACGTGGGGGGCCACCACTGAAAAGTCTTTTCTTGTTGCCACCATCCAACCCTCCCTCAGTGGTGGCGACTGGAGAATTGGGAGAGGCATTTCATTAGGTATTGTTGTCCCAAGCCATGTAGAGCTTTATAGGTCACAACCATCACCTTGAATTGGGCTCAGAAGCATATAAGCAGCCAGTGCAAGCAGGCAAGAATTGGTGTTCTATGACCAAACATTCTCTGTTATTAATCTGGCTGCTGCATTTTGCACAAGCTGCATTTTCCAAACAGTCTTCAAGGGTAGCCCCATGTAGAGTGCATTGCAGTAGTCTAGTTTAGCGATTACCTGAGCATACTTCACTGATAGTGGGCTATGCCTTCCAGCCAAGGACATAGCTGAGCTACCAGCCAAAGCTGGTAGAAGGCACTCCAAGCCACTGAAGACCCCTGGGCCTCAATGACAGCAGCCAGTGGAAGACTGAAATTAGAGGCAGTCAGAAACTACTTCTTTGCCACTCTCACTGCCTCCAAATATATTCGCCTATAAGCAAATACAGAGACTCAATTGTATTCACCAGGAGTTCTTCTTCATCTGCACTCAAGCCATCTCTTGTTTCATGTCATCATTCTCAGCTCTGGTGTAAACCATGGAGCTGTATGAGCTCTACCTCACAGAGGGTGCTCAGGAGAAACTGTCAGCTGCCCAGGTCACCTCTATATTCCAGAGAGCAACCAAGGATTTGACAGGACCACCAGCCAAATCAGCAGGAAAGTCCCCCAGAGCCCCCTGGAAACCATCTGGACCCATCGGCAATACCCAGAGATCAGAGGGCAGGCCGACATATGCAGGGCCGATGAAGAGGAATCCCCTCCCTCAGGCACAGAGAATAAAAACACTGGTGTGGGGGGGCTTGTCCTTGCATTCCCCCCAAAGTGTTGACCCCCTTTGGTGTCATCCCCTTTGCAGCTGTCACTGCCAGGGCGTTGCCACCCTGTACTGGGCCAGCAGAAATAGTTCCGCTGCAGCTCAGGTCAGGTGGGAGCTGTGAACAATTGAGTTAGTAGCGGGAAATGTTGCAGGAAGGCCTCTCCACGGGACTTCTCTCACCAGAGCCTCAATCCAGCCAGCCCCAGCATCAGCCAGGAGAAAGAGATGGACAGGATGGCAAGGGGGCTGGTGGAGAGACTAAGCCAGCTGGGAGGGAAGGCTGGTGCAGTGACAAAGCCAGCACTCCCACCCTTGCTGAGAGAGTCTGGCGCTGCTGGTCAAGACTGTAGTCTTCTGGTCTAACTCTTCTCTCTCCCTCCTCAAGGGAAGGTGAGTGTAGGCTCCTCCTATGCTTCTTGTACGCATACCATTCTGGAAGTGTATTTGTTTCAACAGCCTGAACCCAAGGAATCAAGCTGGGCTGTATCCTAGTGTATTTTGGCCAGCAGTTAACTCCTCATATGTAACTATTTCCACAGAGGTAACAGCTTTAAGTCTGGTGTGATGATGCCACTGGAAGGTCTTGCGGAACTTCAGAGAGGCTGTGCTAGCTAGGGATGGGCAAGTGAGCCCAGTTTGAGATTGCCAGCATTCTCCAAACATCTTATTTCCATTTCTGACTACTGCTCATTCTGCATGAAGAGGAAAGTTGCACAAACGGAACACTGACCAAATGGGAGATGTGCACACATTTGAAGAGAACTGTGCACATTTCCTCCACGGACCAGAGCATGGCTGAGTCAGTCTACTGAGTAAAGTTGTGCAAATTAGGATATTTGCACAAATCTATGGGGGACCCAGGAAGGAAATGGATGTGAGTTCATGTTCAACAACTGGCAAACATTTCCAGTGGACACACGCTCAGGAATGTGTTCAGATCATCCAGCAAGGCATATTTCATGCTTTGCAAGCAAAACCAAAATGGTCCTATGTCTGATTTGCAGCTTGACTGTCTTTTGCTCCCATGTGCTTGTGCTCACCAACCACTCTGTGGAAAGCATCCTAGAATAAAGACAGGGCTGAAAATCAACTCGAGTCCCTGCCCAGGGCTGCACTTCCCCTCTCTCACAGAGCTTTCAACCATCAACTACCCTTTGGGATGGATCTGTACGATCCTTCTGATACTGTTTTACAGTGGTTTGTATTAATATATTGATGTTTCACTTGAAACCATCTGGGTGGGATTTTAACCTGAGAGGTGGGATAGGCCTAATTATAAGTGATAACTATCAATATCCTTAAAAGAGTAACAAATGCCTTATGCCATAAAGTGGATGCTGGTGTTCAAAAGGTCATGTCATAATAAATTTATTCATCTTTAAGGTGGCAGAGGATTCTCCATTGTGCTTCCTTCATATGCATATTCCAGCTGTATGGAAACTGGCAAGAAAGAAGATAGAAAAGGGGGTCACAGTAAACTTTCCTTGTTGTACATTTTGCTATCCATCAGAATGGAAGGCAGTGCTTTTATTAAAGAAAGGATTGATAATGATTTGGATGTACTTTCTCTCTTATGTACGCGTGCGCACACACAAAACCCTAGGCAACTGGACTCAGGTAACTAGCACAATACTAGTACAGGCCAACAGTCATTTTCAAAAGAAAGATAGCTATATAACCAAACATAGTCACAAACATAAATTTTGCCAGGTCTTAAGACATCACATTTATTCTGGGCACAGTGGAATAATCAGAATGATTGTGTCTGGAAGGCTCTTGGACCTAATCACTGAAAAACATGTAGCTCCTGTATGTATATTCAAGCTTTGCAGCTTGCCTGCATGTAAGTTAAAGCTGACTACCATAGAATAAATAGGTCTCATCTCCCAGCTTAACTGTGCAATACTAGCCATACCTACACAGAAGAAAGCCATGTTGAGTTCAATGGGACTTACTTCCAGATAAATAGGTATAGGATTGCAGCCTTAGCTAATTCATTCTAAGACCTCAACAGAGCTCAGATTTAAGGTCTAACAAGAAGAACTTGCAAAATGATCAGAGCTATTTAGCAGCTTAGGAGTGCTTAAATTAATTGGTCCCTTGCCAGCAAGCTGTTAATTCCTATTAACACAACATAATATTTTAATACTATTAGACTGTTCTCTAGAGCTTGATAAAATAGAGAACCTTAAATCTGAGTTTTACTTTAAGCAGGCACTAGGAATATAGAATAACTTAATAAAAATAGTAGAATATTTATCATCTTTAATGATGGGTGCAATAGCTGTGACCTATTTTCAAATGTTGGCATATAAGAGCGCACCTGTGCTTGAAAAGTTCTGGCTAACTTAAAAGTTTCCAACAATTTAAACATTAGTCAGTCTAATAAAGGCAATACGTTGCCCATGATCTCTCTCCCTGATCACCAGTTTTTATGACCACCCAATCAAACTGACTCAAAGGTTTTGGACAGAAAAAATAAACTAGTGTACATTCACAAAATGCATTATTAAAAATATGGAACCCACACCAAAACATCTGCTGATGGCAGCCAGCTTCTCCAACCAGGTGCCTGATGTGTAGGACTGCAACATGTTGGCTGGGGAATTCTGGGAGGTGTAGTCCAACACATCCATCTGGAGGGCATAAGAACAAAGACTAACCTCTTTTTTAAATGCTTAAACAAACATTGGCAGCCATTAGCCATGGAACATGAGGTGTAGAACAAAGTGTTGTGGTGCAAATTGTATTTCTCCAGTCTTCCCACCAGTCAGGTATGCCTGCCTTCAGGATACTCCATTCCATCCACCATGTTGTTGTTTTTTTCCACAACACTCAGCATTTCCTGACTATACATGCATGCTCAGTACTCACTGGGTTATTTGAGGGAATACTTGCCCACCTGTGCCTTCCCCCTTACAGCTCAGATAGGAAAGTCTTCCAAGCATCCTGGTAGTTTCTGCTTGTTTCTTCACAACTTATTTTGGGCCATGTCTGCTGTTATTTTAGCCAGGATAGCTAAATGGAACCTCTGTGTTCAAAGGCAGTACAATTCACTGCGGCAGAGGCTTGCACTTCCTGAAGGCACCTGAAGGACTATGCTGGATTAGAGAAGGCCTTTGATCTGATTCATCATAGCTGATCGTAAATTACTTTATGAGGTTTAGCATAAAAAGTGCGTAAATGGAGAAGTGACGGGTGTGTACAAAGATACGTATGGCGTATAGGAAATAGATAGGGAGACATTTTCTCTCGCTCTCCTAATATTAGAATCTAAGATCATTCCACAAAGGTGGATGGTATTCAGGACAGACAAAAGGGAGGTCTTCTTCACACACTGCACAATTAAACTACAGAATTTGCTATCAGAAGTTGAAGTGGTGCCTACCAACTTGGATGGCTTTAAAAGAGGATTGGACAAATTCACAGAGGATACCGTTCTCAACAGGTATTAATTCTGATAACGACATGCTAACCACCACATCAGATGCAGTATGTTTATAAATACCAGTAGCTAGGGAACACCAGCGGAATGGTGCACTTGTTGACATTATCAACAGAGCCCTGGTCAAGATGGACTTCTGGTCTGATTCACTGTGGCCCCTTTTATCTTTTCACATTCTTACGCTCTATATTTCTTTTTCTGTGGTGCTAACTCATGTACATGTCCAATCAATATATTTTGTCTTTTTCATCTTCATCACTGTTATTAAATTGCATTAAATCTCATAGTTCCCATTCAAAATGGCAAAGGAAATTTCCCTAACATATTTAAAAACTAGGACCATGTAAGAAAAGACAGGCCATGGAGAGGATAGTATATATTTAGCTACTTCATACTCCTTCATATTAATTTGTAACCAGTTATTTTCACCCCAAATAGCTTCTTGATATCTAAAAGCTCCTAACAGAAATGTAGGCATGTTGCATTTCTTACATCTAAAAATAGCCTAGAGGTGGGAAAAGAGTCAAAGAGATCTATTTTGTTATCAATCTTGTAGCAAGACATAGCCAGAGCCTGGAGGATGAGGGAGCAAAAAGATTTACTGCTCATTTTATCCCATTTGTCAGTAAAGGTGACTTTACTGCTTGGTAGACTCCATATTAGTAAGTCTGTTCTCAGAAATGTGCAGATGAAATGTGCACTCCCATGGTTACAGAATACTTCTATTTCTCTCTGCCTAAAAGATCAATTTCTGAATGGGTTTAAAAGGTTATTGGACAAACGCATGAAAGATCCCTCTACCTGTGGCTATTAGCCATTAGGGCTGCAATCCTATGCATGTTTTGATACAATAAAAGGCCTACAACTCCTACCATTCCAAAGCCAGCCACGCTGGGAGCTGTAGCCCATTTTTTCTTCCTAAGTATGCCTACGGTTGTGGCTTAGGTCATGTTCAAAGGCAGCATGACATGGATCAGCAGTTGTTAGTGAGCAAGAGCTGTGGTATTTCATTGCCTTCAAGCCCTGCTGGTGGATTTCTCAGAAACAACTGACTGTCCAGTGGTGTCCAAGACACTGGACTAGAAGAGCCTCATGGTCTCCTCTTACATTAACTCAGCATCTCTGCCATTCCTTTGCCTGAACGGTCAAAGGGATGGAATACTATTTGAGAACACTGTGGGATCACTATTTACATGCCCCATGTTCACCTGTTTGGAGGTACATCACTTGATTACTCAACAAGGATCTGCTGTTACCTGTCTTCTCTGAAAATTAATACATCTGAGGTTAATACATCTGACAATGCCAAAGTGTTGCTTGTGCAACTCAGTGATGGCTAGAGCAGAGGAAGATGTGGAAGCAGAGGTCTGGGTTTAGCCTTCCCTTAGCCATGATGCTTACTGGATCGGGAGACCTTAGGTCAGTTACTCACAGCAGTCACCTACCATAGAGGGCTGCTGTGTGGAAAAGTGGCCAGCCACATTGCCTTGACCTCCTCAGGGAACTGGGAGGATTCAAGTGCAAGAAATGATTGCAATGGCTCACATAAGCGAGTCACTGCTTGCAGCTGCCAAATGGTAAGCATAAACAAGTGAACTGGCCCATAGATTTACACTGATGTGGAGCCATGCAAGTTAATTGAAAGGTGGGGAAATGTTCCCACAGAGTGTCAAATGCAATTTGGAGTAGTTCATGGGGGGCCACAGCGCAGTAATGGGGCTGAATGCAAACTGGACAGGGCCAAAGCCAAAAATCATGGAGTCAAAAATACAAAACAAAAGGAGGAAAAGGGGGAAAATCTAAAAGAAAAGGCCAGCATATAGTGACTCAAAGGTAACAAAACCTTAGGAAAGGCATCTATATCTGTTAGAATGGGATGGGGTGGAGGAAAGTTGCAGAAAAGCCAAAACGTACTAAAGGACTGATGGCTGCGGGAAGGAGGTGGGGCCAGGGGAAGGGGATGCAACCAGGGGAATGGGGCATCCCTATCTGGGGAACCTTGGAATGCCAGACTGGAAGCCCAGGATTGCTGAATGTGGAATGTTGTTTCCCCACTCTTTGGTTATTCAGGCAATCAGAAAGCATGTTCAGAGCTTCCTGAATTTTGAATGGCAGAGACCAAGCAAAAAAGACCACACATACCACACATAAATGCCACGGTTCTCAGAGTCTGCTGCATGAGGATCTGTGTAACTGGAGAAAGGTTGTGATGGGTGTAGTGAGACATTACAATGCCAGAGAACAAGATAGCCATGATACCTGGGGGGAAAAAGGCCATTATCAGACAAGAACCCTTTGCATGTTAATGTAGAAATATTTCCTAATTGTTTGGCAATCACAAAGCAATTCATTCATTATCATTGCTGCCCTGCAACAGAAAGAATGGGGAAGAGTAACTTAGGGAGGGATCCCAACTGGATGTTCAGGTTTAGTTCCTGCATCACTCATCAAAGGGTGTCTGGCCGGCTTCTGGGATAATGTAGCGAAGGACAGCAGCTCCTGCATAGGCAGGGGTTTCTCTGCTGGCTTCAGAATAGGGGGCAGCCCTGCATACCTCGGGGAAGGATGTTTCCAGATAGGTCTTACTGAGTTCTGTGTGAAAGGGGAAGTAGAGTTTCTATAGCTGGAACTGAGCTTTAAGGTGCTCTCACAATGCCTGTTCCAGAAAAAAAAAAACTATCACCCTTTAATAAATGTTGGCAACATGGGACAGCAGAAGCATTACTACTGCACATGATGTGGAAATGCCCAGAGGTGGCCTCCTTCTGGACTGAAGTTGTTAGACACATCAACTTTGAAATACATCATGCTCATTTAAAGGTGTGAATACATTGCTGAATTATCTTCCCACATCTTGGAAGCTCTCCTTTGGCCACTGCAAGTGGACTGTGTAACCCCTCATGGTGCCTAAGAGCCTCATGCTAAGGGGAGGGAAAAGACAAACCATCTCCCTCAATCACACACTGGCCTGAAGACTTCACAACACTGGTATCCCATAAGAGAATATACTACTGACTTCATCTCAACACTCATTTTGACATTTGGTCAACCTACCTCAACCTGTATTAGTGATGTAGAACAGGAACTTTGAATATTTGTGTGCATATGTGTAAGCATATATGCATATGTATATATTCTTAAAAATACTTTTAGTGTATCTCTGTTCCTGGATGGCTATATGGTGTCCTTAGTGTTTTTTGTTTTTTCCCTTTTTTCTGTATATGTGTTTGTGGTCCTACTCTTGTATTCCCATTGAGTTTTTACTGATATTTGGTTTTGTTGAAAGATGATAAAAATCAAATAAAATTTTAAAATGTATATAAAAAGATCAAGCTGCTGGGTCACACTGTTGTACAAAAGGTGGAATTCACGTTTTCCTGCTTTAAATAGAAAAGCGGAGCTCTATAAACCAAAACAACATCAGGCTGGGAAAACGTACCATCTGTCTCTCAAGCTATTTACTTCTCAGATTTAAGAAAAGCAAGATGGCATATGCTGGGAGAAGAAAAAAAAAATCATAGATAGAAATTCATATGGTGAAAAGGTGTTTCCTCTAAGCCAGAAATAATTAACCAAGAACTATGTATGATTATTCTGGACAGTAGTCAATGCTACATGACTTTGTGAATGCATTGCATTTCATCCTTAATATTATTCTCACTTGTACCCTATGACCCTTCAAACTGGAAAACGGCTGAGCACTGAAAGAATGTCACTGTCTATTTCATTATGACATAAACTTTATAGGTAAAAGCTGTCTACTCTATCAGGTACATGAATATGAGTGACAGAGCATGCTGCCCCTCAGGGCACATGGCCCTTCTGTGTGTCATGCTCTCACACAGCTGTGAGATTCATGTAGATACTGCAGCCACGCTCGTGTGGTCAATCACATGTGTCTTTGGGATGCAGCTGGCAACAGGCTGCATCCCGGAGAAGGACATCTTACAATTGGAATTGCCAGTGCAGTGTGGCTTTTTCCCATGCAATGTCCAGAACGTCTCTCCTGGAAGGCATAAAAGAGCTGGTATATCATGCAGGGTTCATGGTTCATAAACTGGAAGTCACCACTTCAAATGTTAGATCAGTAACTCTTTCTAGCCAGTCTTTCTTGACCTCTATCTCTGTACATTCTCCCCATCTGTATTATAGGGCTCATAATCCTGGCCTTCCTTACATGCATGTTTTAAAGCTCATGAGATAATACAGGTGGGATGCTTTTTACTGTTCGGTGTGTAGGCTGATCTGGAGAGCCTCCAGCTTCTGAAACTAGCCAGAAGCACTGCTACAAACCCAATTTGGCCTGGGAGGCTAGGAAGCATTCTTAAAAGGAGATCTTCTGTGCCTCCTCATTTTGCATAGGGAAGGACAAGGTCATGACTTAGAAGTTTTAACAGAACCCCAGGAAGCTGCCTTGCACAGACAGCTCCATAGCCTTAATTCAGCTTTTCCGGACCTGATAACCTCTAGAGGTTATCCTATAATCCTACAGCCAGCATGTGTTGCAGTCCAATGCATATGGAAGGCAACAGGTTGGGGAAGCCTAGTCAAATCTGTTGCCCAGTCCCTGCATTAAACTGAAACTTAGGTCATAAGGTGCATTATAAAATCTTAAGAAAAAACACTTCTACAGATAAGATACACTGCATGACACACAGTAAGTCTTTGTTTTTTCAGTGCATAACTTAACAGCTTGTTTTGCCACAGAACAGAACTTAGTTAAAAAGGGCTGATGGGATTAGGCTGCAGCAGGATGCTGACAGTTCAGCTGAAGCAGAATGGGAAAAAAAAGCTTCATAAGATGACTTCATTTAGGTCAAGGTTGGATTGTGCTATAGTTACAGAAGCTCTTCAAAACAATTTTTGCAGCAACCTTTAATAGCATGATCCTATCCATGTTTAGGAAAAACTTCTAAAACTCCCAGTATTCTTCAGCCAACATGGGTGGATCATACTGAAGAATGCTGGCTGCTGCTGAACATTATAGGATTCCCCCACCACCAAGTTAATATGCATGGGATTGCATCATGGCAACCTACTTTATAACAACCCATTTAACATATCCCCTCAGTTATTTTAAATATTAATTTAAACTTGACTGCATAACCTGGGATCCATTAAACTAAAGACAAACCAAAAACTTGGGTCCTTAGTTTAAAATAGGTGCAAAGCCTCAAGCTAAGGGGCCAAAGCAAGTTCTTCTGGAATCCTCAGGAGATACCTGCCACTCCAGGTCCCACACCTTCCTTTGAATGATTTTTTGGTGGTTTCCCGGCATCTGGGCAGTTTTTCCTCCCTTCTAAAAAGCTAAAATGCTTCTCCTAAGGTTACTGGCAGGAAAAGTTTTAAGCTAAAACAGGCTGATATTTTGGCCCCACCCCTTGTACCTTTACAGGGTGCTCTGTGATATGGCCCCTAAATGCTTTTCTGAACTAGATTTGGCTCTTGGGCTGAAGAAGTTCAATACCTCTGTCTGCTTGCTTGTTTGTTCGAACCCACGATTTGAAGGCCTGTGGTTCAAGGCCTGCTGAAATACTTACAAAGTGATCCAGTGGTTCCTGGGCAGCATCCAAAGGGCCATGAAAGGGCAGGAGACAAAGCTTAAGCTTTGAAGCTGGAGACATTTGGATCAGCCTTGCAACCAGCATAGAAAGAACCTTGCCAACTGCTTCTCTAAGACTGTAAGAACAACTTCTCAGAAGAGGTGAAGCAGCCAGGGAGGAAACCAAGTCCACCAGTATACAATGTTTCCTTGTGGTGTTACAGTCTTCTTCCCCATCCGAAGCACTGCAGTTAGATGGCCAAATCAGCCAGTGGAGTGGGAAGGCAAAGAATGCTGCCGCCGTTTTGTTTTCCTGCACAGGGTGTGCATTATCCTCTAAATTCAGAGGCGTATGGGCACCCCAGCTGGACTGTGCCCATAATTTTTTTACCCTTTTCTTTAAATAAGGAAATAGATGCTTGCATACATAAGGGCTCTGTGCACTTTCTGTGCATTCTGGTCAGACAGCTGGGGAAAGGGGAATGTCCGGGTTATTCCAGGGCTGAAACAGCAGAGACGAGCACACACATGGAATGCCACCAAATTCCACCAGCAAAGCACTTGCCAAGCCCCGTGGCTCTGAACTCTGACTTCAAAGTTGTTCCACAGAGAAAATGAAAACTGCTTATGCAATGTTATGCTAGGACCGGGTTAAAGACTGCCGGGGGGGGGGGGGCTATGGGGCAGTATAGAAAATGAAATAAAAACAAATGTGCATGTGGTGATGGGGTTGCAGATGGCCATGCCTCTGAAGAGTCAGAACAAAGATCGAAACCTCACAGTAGCTGACAGGCTCAATACGCCTCAAAGTTGCCGTAATCTCTTGGCTGATTTCTTTTTAGAATGCAGTTATACAATCACTTCTTTGCCTGATGTCATTCTATCAAACATTTATTAAATCAGTAAATGGGATCCTGCACTGTGATTACCAATAGTTTTGCAGTGTCTCAGGTTTTCATGTATGATGCAGCTACTACCAAAACGCAAGCCTCAGCTGTTCAAGGGTTGTTTCAGGACAGAAGTGCTTTAAAATCCATGCTTGTTTGCCTGTACAAACACACATGCACTGCCATATTCACGGGAATGGAGCTGCCTGTCAAATAAGAACCCTTCCAAGGAAGTCTGCCTGCATGCAACTGTGATTGGATTTTGCTGTGCAGCTTTATCAGTAGCCCATCACCTCTCTAAAAGAAAATCCGAAAGGAACAACCAGAAAGGGAGAGAATAGGCAAGGAAATTCTCTAAGTCTCCAGAGAGGGATGGGGAAGAATGATCCAAACCCAGACTGCAATCTTTCATCCACCCAAAATTGTTTTCACAAATGTTAAAGCCACCACATTCTTAACACTTTGCAGACATACTTTGCAGAGAGCTGCTCTTACGGACCTTCTTGGTCACCACACTTTTCATGAGGCATTTCCTTGCATGCTTTTAAGGCGATATCCAATTGTGGGGGTATGTAAAAACAAGAGATTAGGTCCCAATGTTTCATTATGTCAGACTCAGGAAAGGGGGTGGTTTTTCTGAAGCACATGACATAATTGCTAATGCAATTACTCTGACTTCTGCTAGCCTTCTGGACATTGGTGCTGTTTCTCAGTCTGCAGCTTGCATCTATACAAAAGTACAGAGATTTTACCGGGTGTACAGAAGGTGTACAAAGGGAGATGAGAAGCATGACTATTCCAGCAGCCCTACAGATAGATTACTTTGATTTTTCCCCTCTTCCCTCCCCTTTCCTTTCCCTTTTGTGTCACATCTGCTTAAATCATAAGCTTTCAAGCAAGAACCATCTTGATTTTCTGATTGTTTGGGAACTCTTTTTGGCTGAGCAGCAGAAAAGAAATATTTTTAAAAACAAGAGCATTCTTTTTATCCCAAATGCAAAACTACTAAGTACCAGCCTCATCCACTCACCTAAGCTACAAATAAACTTGGCATTGTTCTGGATTATATGTAATGTTCTATCATTGGCAGGACAAGATGATGTATTAACCTGAAACAGTAGCTGCTCCCAACAGTAGCTGGAACTTCCTCCCATAGGAAAAGTGATAAAAGCCAAGCAACCCCTAGAATTCTGAATGAGTGGGAAGTTGCAAGATGGATGCAACACCTAATCCCAGAGAACAGAGTAAACCCTACTTCTCTCTCCATACAAGTTACTGAAGATTTGTAGTGCAAAGGTAAGGATTTGTGCTATAAACTCCTTGAGAAAGTTGTGAGAAAAGTGAACAACCCCAGCAGGCTGCAAATCATTCCAACATTATCAATAGTTTTGAGCTTTTTCATTGAACAGCTTACCTGAGAGAGAAATACCTTCTGCGAGTCCATAGGGAAGATAAGCAAAGATGATCATCATCCCAAACTCCAGGGAAGGAGTTTTCCGTAAATCAATATGCTTCAGCACGTCAATACCAGATAGTTAAGAAAAATACAAGAAAGGCAGGAGAACAGAAAATTAAGATAATCAGGGGGGAAATCATTTGTCATCAGGGGAGAATGAAGGACTTTTGGGATCACATGCTGACTGCCTGCCTAGGACCCACAATATGTACAATAATACACAATACAATGTTCTGCACTCATTTTTTCATTTCCAATCTGTAATATTTTTCAGGTGGAACAGAAAAATAGCTTTAGTCACATTTAGAGTCATTTTTGACCCCAGGCAAAAGTTCCTCAGGCAAGAAAAATGCTGTGTATGAAAAGACTTGGTTCTGGTGAAATTTTTCCCCAGGAGGTTTGTCAACATAAGAATAACTTTCAGCAAGAACAGGTAATGTAAACCTTAATCCCTCCCAAGGCTATGCAAAATGAGGAAATAGCATAACAATGCTTGACTCACTGATATGTTCTCTGCATAAAAATAGTTTGGCCTACTAACCTTAAAGAATCATGACAAAGCTTTCCCTCAATGGAATGAAATACTGTTTGTGGATTGCTTTAGCTAAGATTCCTAGCTTTAAAAAGAGACCAAGTTGATCTGTATTGCACCTGCTTTTGTTTTTGTTTTTTTTAAGCTTATAGTGTGAGGTATAAAAGTATCCCATATAACTTATTTCTATGGAAATTCTGGGGTACTTTTGTGCCCTCGCATGTTTTAGTCTATAGGAAAAACAACCTTAAGAGCTGAACTTTGGAGATGTTTTAGACTAGGCACTTTGGACTATGCCCGAGAAATGTAGGACTACTTATGTGTAAATTACAGCACAAAATGTGAGTTATAGAGATGCCTGTTACCTCACATGGCAGTATGAAGACTACAAGATCTAAAAATCAGAACAAGATCAATGCATATAAAAGTCTTCCCCTACGATTACTTTAGAGACCCCAAATCTAAGGTATTCTTACCATAACATGTAAATCTTCCTCATTCATCTTCTACTTCCTTAGGGTAAGATTTAGCACATCACTTCAAAAGCAACCATGTACACAGTCACACTGCTCAAATCTTGCTGACTTAAACAGGATTTAAGTAGCCTAATTGTCCCTAAGATTGCAGTCCTGGGTTTGTGAAATGCAGAGAGTTAGTTACTATCTGAGATGACTTTCCAGAAGGCTCTTCTTTAAGGGCAGCTTGATAAATATCTTTGGACTGCAGACCTAGAGACTAAGGCAGATTGTGACTATACTGGGAGTTTTCTCTGCACTTTATCAATCTGATATTAAAGCAGGAGTTCAGATTGTGTGGGTGGAATAAATGCCAGTTTAACAATTCTGGGATGCGCACAGATTTTTGTCTGTAAGTTAAATATTTAGTATTTTCAGACTGAGAGCCCAAGCAAGTGACTAAAAGCGCTCCAAAAATGGACATGGGGCGAGGAAAGTGGATGCATCTATATTTATAAAACAGGATTCTGATTTCTCAGTTTATGCTTGCTTTTTGTAATTCATTTTTATGACCAAGAATATACACAAGGCACAGGGACACACAGTGGGGACTTTTGGCAGCTCTCCTTCACTCTCCCACCTGCAGAGTGGGACTGCTCTTGCTCCCATTACTGCCACTTAGCTGCACCCACCTCCCCTCACAACCCAACAGGCCAAGTTCTTGCTAGCCCCTAAAACATCCTCTTTAACACCTCTCCAAGGTTATTTTGCCAACCCTGGAGAGCAGCTGGTGTAGCTCCTCCACAGAGGCTGTGAGGATGCTAGGTTGGGGAGCTTCGGTTCCCATCTCCAAGGCCTGAGGACCATTTTTGACCTCAGGGATGGAAATCTGACCTACTCTGAGGCCCCTCAGATAATATTTAAGGGCCACAAGATTGCTGCCTCCAGCAGTGTTTAGCTCCTTTAAACATACAGCAATCCTCTGTGACTAGATTATTAACAGAAGGTAAATCTGTGGTAGAAGCTTCTTCCTCCTAAAGTCTAGCAAGCTAAAAGCTGTGAAAATAATTTGCTGCAGGATTTTCCACTCCCCCTGTACTTGATTTTCACCACATTTGCAGGGGTAGAAAAAAGCCTCTATTTGCCAATATTATGGGGGGGGGGGCAGCAAGAAATACAATCTACATAATTCTAGTAGGGGGGCTCTTCAGTTGTCAACCACAGGGTTGTTGTGAGAAGAGCATGGAGAGGTGGAAGATTCTGTAACGCACCTTGGGTTCCTCGCAAAAAGAAACAAGACAGGATATAAATGTAATAGAAATAATTAAATAAATAAATAGCCAGCTCAAGCTAGTATGAAAAGTCATCTATTCAACATGACACACTACCCTGCTGAATGCAATTCAGACACAACTGGTGGGATATACTTTAATTATGGGATACTGACTTCCGCATTCAGTTCTGAAGAGCCCACAGTGGGAAAAAAGTTGAATTTGCTTACTGAATGCATAATGCATATCAAAAACGGGAGCATATGCTACCAAAACGACCCATTACTGAAAATGGAATTAATGTATTAGGACTACAGCAAACAATTAGCATACTTTATAACACTCCACTGGCAGATAAGATGAGCTATTACACAGTCACTGAGGCTTTAATAAGAGTCATACACGAATGCAACACTGTTATGCAAGTCTGGAGCTGTTGCCTACTAGCACAGATGCCATTGCAAACCAAACAGAACAGAGCATGCTGGAAAAAAATCCTTCTTTTTTAAAAAATGCACTATGGCTGAGGGCCATTGTTAAAATGGAGAAGCCCATTTATTTTATGAATTTGCATGACTTGACCTAAAAGCAAAGGATATTAATGCAGAAATAAGACCAGTCAGAGTGCCCAGCGCTGCAGATCCGAAGAACATCTTCAGAAAGTAACCCAGAGCCTGTACAAAGGTTTGCCATCCACTTACGTCGGATGTATGTTCTCTTGTCAAACCTTCTGCTGTGCTGGGAACAATTACAAAAAGACACATTTGAATCTTAGCCAGGACACTGCAAGATCTGATTCTTCTGTTTCCACTGGTGTCAACAAAAAGTCTTGCCACTTTAACAGCCATGCAGGGGGCAATTTTCAAGGGGGACTGCAGCTGGGGAGGAATTCCGTGTACCCTTCCATGGCAATAAAGCTTAAAACAATCTTTCCATTGGTGCCAATGGAGGTTTTCCCTACACTTAGCTGCCATGCAAAAGGAGCATCACAGTTAGAAAGGGGAACATTAACCTTCCCTTCCATGTGCATTGTGCCATCTCCCCACACAACCACATCTCACTTCTGGATGGCGATTAAGCTGTGTGGGAAAATGGCACTGATGACAATGGAAAGATTGAACCCTGAATATTTTACATGCTTAGCAAAGCCTCTGAATCTTAGAACTGCAAGGATCGTGTATGTGTTTTAAAATGTCAGCAACCTACATTTCTTTGTTGAAACATTGCTTTTAAAATGCTTTTACTGTGATATAACAAGTGGAATGTCAAAAGACATTGTATCAAGGACTGGTGTAATCTCCCTCAACACACACACAGAGGGTGGGAAGGGGGGAGAGGAGAAACATGGCTTTGCTAAAGGAAAAAAAACCTTCTCTAGCTTTTGTGATGCTTTTAAGCAATGGTACAAAATAAGCCAGGAAGACGCCTGCTGTGGGAGTGGAGATGGAGAGATGAAGGCCTTCAGACAACAAAAAGACAAGCCACCTTTTCTTAACACAAAGGGAAGGGAGGCACAGTGTTCAAATAAATTCTGCCTCCAGAAAAAAAGGTGTATCTGCAGAAACAGGCATCTCCCCCACCTCCAGAAAAAAAGAAAAAGGTGTTCTTTCCTTTGATGATCAAGGCATGTGAGAATGTGGAAGTGGGAAACATAATTGTCTTGAGCATACAGGAGAGAAAGTGTGAAGGAAGGCCAGGACTCTGGGGTGAATACAACCTAGAAGGAGTCCTTGGAATTCTAAGCAAAGAATCAGACTTTATTTGTAAGTACACTTCAGGGGATCTATGCAGAGCTTCTTCTTTTGGATCTTATGCCCTCATTTGCTGCATCCAACCAATCAATCAAATGCACCTGCTAACCAAATGCCTTCTGTTTTAAAAAGGCTGTATCCCTAAGAAACATTACTGAGGGTCATTGCTGAAATGGAAAAAACCCGCTTGTTTAAAAACAAGCTTCCAGACAGCTTCCCTTTTTCAGAGGAGAGCAAACTCTTATTATAATCATTTAAACCTGCAAATCAGGAGTAACACTATCTCACTTCTCAAATGGAGCTAAATTTTGCAGCCTGCATGAAGAGCACTGAAACACTGCCCCTGATTACCAGCAGAAATCCTGTCTAGTCTCCTCCTCTTCATCATCAAAAATTGCTGTGCTGAATCACTTGTACATATTTTTTCACAGGGACTAGAAACTGATTCTTAATACAATACCACACTGAAAGCCAGGATTCTTTGGATACTGTGCCCAATCCAATTCTGACTTTGTGAAGTGCCCTCATTATAGATTTTGTGCTTTGGAAGAGTAGGGGTGTTGAAACTCTTTCAGCACAAGATTCAAATTCCATTTTGGGGAAGCTCTTGCAGACCACATTTCAGCAGTGGATGAAAGCCAAAGGTAAAAGCAGAGAGTGGGGAGCCAAAAAATCCATCCCAGATTAGTTTCAAGTTTTTACTACCGGGAACTAAGCCTCAGGAGAGGTGTGTCAACCTTTTTTTTGCGGGGGGGGGGACAACATGAAGGCAGGGAAGGCACCAAATGACTAGTGAACAGAGGAAAGAGGCTACGGATCAGTGGACAGAGGAAAGAAAGCATAGTTATCTGAGAAATACCAAAGGGCTAGACTGAGAATCCAGGCAGGCAAGATTTGGTCCCCAGGCCTGAAGTTCTGGGCTCCTGTTCTTGAAAATCAGATCTGCATGGCAGCAAGTGCAACCAGCTGCGCAACATAGCAGGGCCGCCTGACGTGCTATTAGGAGGCAAAGATCACTCTGTTGATAATTGTATTGTTAACAAGAAACGTCAGCCAAAATACTTTTTTAAAAAATCACAGTTCTCTAAGGAGCACAGATGCACTTTACATACAGTTGTCACATCTGCCTTCTCCTCAGCTCAAAGCTCACGCCATTTAGCAGGATCTCCTGACGCTGCGTAGCATTTTCAGGGCCACTGAGATGCAGTGGTGGGAAAGCAGGGGGCAGGGAAGTCCACTTTTGGCAGCCCAGTGAATCCTACCCTATGTTTAGTAATGTGTGAGGGAGCCATTCACACAGATTGCTTCCTGAATGACAGTGCCCACTGGAATGCACTTACTTTGTTAGGACGATCGAGACTGCATCATTGAGAATACTCTCACCAAAGACCAACATGTTAAGCACAGGGTCAACATTAAGAGCATTAAAGATGGCAATTGTAGCTACTGGGTCAACAGCAGAGATCAGGGAACCAAAAGCAAAGCTGGAAGAAGAAAAAACAGAAATGTGAGCATCACCTGCAATCCTGAAAATGCAACACTGGATATTCATTTTATTTTTTAAAAACCAATGTTTGCAGATGTTGACTGTTGTTTCATGGAGGTCAATTGTCAGCAACAGGCACCTTTTTCAAAGAAGCGAGGCGCTTGGGATCTCTCCAAATACAGGACTTTCCCTGCATGTCCCAGCCCCACCTACAGCAGCAATGGAAGGCTTCAATGCAAGCCCTTTTTCAAGACTAACTGCTAGGTAGTATTGAAAGTTCTGGAGAGGGACCTACATGCTGTGTCCCCCCCCCCCCCACCCTCCAGAATTGCCCCTCTAGATTTGGAAAAAGTGGAGAAGGAAGCTTGTTTCAAGCTTAACTGCTGTGTGGAGGGGTAATGGAGAGACTGTAACTAGGAAAAGAAGAGTTCATTTCCCTATTCCTATACACTGTAACCCTCTCCAAATTGCAGGTCTACACACCACCTACTGCAATCTGGCATCAAAAAGTATTTTTGTTGCTTCCAATGGGAAGCTTTTTCCAAGCAAAGTGCTGTGGGAGACAGGGGAATCTTTCTCCGTGCGTAGGAATGTGTGTGCATGAATCTGTATGCATGAAAAACTGTGTTGTAGGTGTGTGCGCATGAGTGAAAGTATATGTATGGTGGACACACACACATACCTTTCATCAACCTGCTTCCTCCTTTGGACCCACCCACTTTTTATGGGGGTTACCAACCACTGGCAACCCTTTAATGTTTAGCCTCAAAGGGATACAGACCATGGGCCAAAAAAAGTTCTTCACCTGCTGTAGACAGTATTGTTCTCTGCCAGCATCTACATACATAAATGAGCATACAAGCTTCACTTTAAACCCTTTAGTCCTAGTATACCTCTTATTATACAAACCTTGCCAGAAGCTTACCTGTCAGTCATATTGAGTTTATAAATTACATCAGCCTAGAAAAAATGATAAAAACATTTTAAAAAAAAGAATATTAACTATTATTCTACTAAAATTGTATTTTCATTCCATTAAGAGAGAAGCATCTTACAGAACTATTGTGAGAAATGGTAACATTTACAAAGTTCATATAATCCTAACTAATGTACTGTATACCATTACCAAAGAAATACTGTAGTGGGAATCACTGTTTAACATGAGAAAGTACCAAAGAGTAATCAGCATCTTAGGGACATGCATTTTCACTCCAGTGCTGTTTAAGGAAGCAGCTCTGTTATTTTCATATTGATAGGCTCAGATGTTGTATGAAAGCTCATTAATCCAAGTTATTTAACACCTCACCAAACAAACAAATCACAGTTTATGCACTTCATTCAAAAGCATCATTATGACTCTGGAATTCCTTACAAAACAAAAAAGAACAAAATGCAATTGGACATACAATCTATGGGAGGGGAACACTAAAAGTATTTAACAATGGTTACCTAGGGTCACCTGGAGAATTTATTTATCTATTGGAAGTATATCCTTACAACAAACTCAGAGTGGCTTTCATCATTTGCTGCCTCCTGCTCTCAATCTTATCCTCACAACAAACCCATGAGGTAGGCTGGGCTGAGAGTCTGTGACTGGCCCAAGGCCACCCCCTTGGCTCCATGGCCAAGTGGGGACTAGAACTAGATGAATGAGTCCCAGTTCTGCACTCTTAACCACTAGACCACACTGGCTCTTGAGAAATGTCAGACACTCTAAGTCAGGGGTCCTCATACTTTTTAACCAGGGTGCCAGTGCTGGGCGCAGGCCAGGAAGGTGGTGCCAGCGGTGCACACGGGTCAGGCCGTGGGTGGGGGTGGTGCGTGCAGGTGCACGTGTGCGCTGAGGCGGGGCGGGGGTGGCGCGGTGAGGGGAGGCAAGGGGAGGGGAGGGGAGGCATGCGCCGCGAGGCGGGCGCACAAGGCATGGCTTGCTCGCTTGGAGAATGCTTCCTCTGAGTGAGAAAACCGCTGCCTCCCTGCACATGGGGCGAGGTGGGCAGCGGTGGGTGCGCAGGTGGGCGCAAGCACACACACGGCAGGTCCAAATGGGCATCACGGGCTGGATCCGGCCCCTGGGCTGTAGTTGAGGACCTATGCTCTAAGTGACTGACTCATAAGCAGTGGGATCCATCTGGAAGGTGGAGTCAGCTCTTTCTAATTTGGAAGGTTATACAGTTTGAAATCAATCTCATATCACTAAGCTGCTTTTCCCTAATAGTTATTCTTCTAACTTTCCTTGAGTCTCTTGTTACTGACCTCTGCAAAACTTTTCTTTTTTATTACCAAGCCAGCCCAGCTGGTCAGTTTTAACATAGAAATTCTATGTCCTGATCTGCTTATAAGAAGGTGAGCAGATCTACCAAGACACAACTACAAGATACCTAATGGAACTCCCAAGTATAACTAATACTTTAATTATACTTATAATCCTAACCTAAATAATTCATACTTCCCAAACCAGTACATAAGCCAAAACATGGTTATTCTTCAGTATTCTCATATCTCCAAATTTTGTAGGGCAGTTTTCTAACCGAAAATGCATACATTAGGAGAAAGTGCATACAAAAATGCATATATTCATCCAAATAATATAAAAATATTTTATATTAGCGATGCCTACTTGAAACAGTTTGTATAATGGGCAAACTTGGATACAGAAATGAATACGGGTGACACCCAAACTCCCTAGCAACAGGAGATCCTCTGCTCCTCCCTGCTGCATCATCCATGCCTCTTAAACCTCTCCAGAAGTTTTCCCAACCTTCAGAAACAAACTTTGGAGGTGCTGTGCAGAGGGCTGCAAGGAGGCAGGACAACTAGTTTCATCAGTGGTCTCTGTTTCTTGTGTAGACAGACACACCTGACCACAGCCTAACATAGCCAGAAATGTATGTGCATACTTTGAAAACAAACTGATGCAGAAATGGAATGAAACAAATTTTGAGTTGGAAAAAACAGAAAGAGAGAGAAAATGACATCCCTATTTATCAGTACCAGTACCACCAATACTTGGATCTTCTTCAGCTATTCCTTTCCATGTTACTGAACTGAGTTTTAAAGAACCCAGCCCTGTGTGAGAACCTGGCCTTTCATACTAAACCATTACTGTGCATACCAAGAAGCTCTCTCACCTGACCAAGGAAGTAAATTCCGCCGCCAACAATGAAAGCCGAAATTGCCGTCCCAATCACCGAAAACAAGGTGATAGAGCCTATGTTCTGAAAGAAGTTCCCCTAAAAAAAAAAGGTGGGGGGAGGAAACCAACAACATGTTCATTTCTCCTGACAGTGCTTCAAATAAGAATTGCTAAAACACTAAACGCTGGAGTATCCTATGAGCAGAAGAGGGAATGGGACCATTTCTGTGATTCCTTCTCCTTTGAAATCCCAAGTCCCCAAGAATCTACTCCAGAGGATTGTTTGATTCTCCAGAACAATGTAGGGGCAGGCTCTAAGGGCTGCAGCATGGGAAGGAGGAATCACCAAAAAACACTTCCTGCTCCTGCATTTTGCCCACAAGAACATCCATTCTGTGGAATGGAAGTCTCCCCTGGGTCTGACTCACATTAGCAAATGGAAGGGATCCATCTGATAGTGGAACAGCAGGTCTGGATCCAACTCAAATTTTTCAGTGGTGTTCTAGAACTCAAGTAGTTCAGCACTCGAGAAATCAAGTACATGTATGTGTGAACCAACATCCAGTTAAATTAAAATAAAATGGGTAGAATCTTATTGGATTCATACTGATTTCAAAGTGATTGGGATTAGAACAGGGCTGAGGAAGCTCTGTGTCTTGCTTGACAGATGTGGCCCCTGGGGCTTCCCTATCTAACCAACAAGCTTCTTCCATTGTTATGTCCAATCAGTTATAGGAAATAAATGCAATTAAACTTAAAATGCCCTACACAAAGTTGAGCTGTACTTCTCTGGGCTTGAAAGTGCACTCAGGCTTCTTCCTTGTTTAGAAGTGAGTTGTGTTTTACACGCCTGAAAACTGTTGCACTGGAACTTTGTCTAGAGTAAACTTGCGCAGAGGTGAACGGTGGTTTCTATGCTGGGAGAAAAATATCCAAGTACGTCAGAACTACACCTGTCCTTGATCTACTTCCTGACCTTAGTCCTGCCCACTGCTGCACCCTTCCCAAATTGGAATTCAGCCCCTGAGCTGGAAAGTTTCACCACCCCTGGATTGTAACATTGATCAACACAATCAATACAGCTGTAAAGCATCCACACTTTCTCACCTTATGTAATGAATATCCAGATTCAAATATAATTGGTGGAAGTAAAAGAAGAAAAAACATGTTGGGACGAAACATTTCTTCTTCCTGTAAAATACAGAAAGGGGAGGGGAGGAGGGGAGGGGAGAGGATTATGAACTGTGTGATAAAGGGAATCATACTGTATCTGTAGCAAACAAACAAACTTAAATCCAGCTTCTTCCAAACATCTACCAAATTGGAAACATTTTAAGAAGCAAAAATGCTGGGAAATGGATTTTATATTAATCTGCCTCATTTCCGATCACAAGTAAAGAGGATTTCTGGATAGTAAACATCCTCAAGATTACTCTTTAAATTGCTTTTCACCCAATGACTAAAGGAAAGGAAGTGCTATCAGATCTGCAGCTTCCAAATAAACAGCATGGAAAACTGAACACCATGCCAGCAAAGCACAGTTCACTAAAGGGACATCTCACACTACTATTGCTGTCTTTCAGAACCGGAAACAAATACTAGTAACAAGCAGAACTTTAATAAGGATGCACAACTGTAATGGGCTCTGTTCTTACATATGCTTGTCCATATAACCAGGACATATTGGAAATATACTTTGCTCGAACTCCTTGGGAGCCGCAAAAGATGCTGAATGTGATGGTCCAACTCTTGGATCGTTCCCTTGGTTGGCTCTGGCTCCCAAACTAATTGCATTTTGAAGAGCTGTTTTGATCAACAGATCCAAGGCTCCTGAGGCTTTACTCTGGGGTGGGCTACTTGGGGCCCTCCAGATGTCTTGGCATAAAGTTTCCACTACTGGCTATGCTGGCTAGGGCTGATGAGAGGTGTAGGCCTACCCCTGCTTTAAAAGCCCTTATGCATCATATGCTACCTCTTTCCTAAAGTCCAGTTAGGACACCTACAATCCATTGGGTATACCCTTGCAGTTTTAGCTTCCATGCACATATATTTGTGAATTGCAGCGGGTTGTAAAGAGCCTTTCTCACTGTTTGGTCTACAGTTAGGAATTCCCCATTGTCTGACAAATCAGTAAAGAAAGGCTGAACCACTGGTATGTAGTCCAAAAAGGAGAGTTTCATGTTTTGTTTTGTTTTGTTTTGTTTTGTTTTGTTTTGATTGATTGATTAATTAATTAATTAATTAATTAATTAGATTTTATTGATTTGATTTGATTCCTATACCACCCATTAACCAAGACAGTTTTCTGGGAAGTTCACAAGGTCAAAACACACAGATGAACACAGTATACAACCACAAATCAATAATGCATTATAAAATAACAAAAATAAGATAGCAACAATAATCCCACAACAGCTGCGCTCAAGTTAGTCCAAGGGTACAGCAGCAATAAATTCAGTAAAATGCAATATAAACAAGATAAAACAGTTGTTATAAAATGTTAAAGATCATTTAAGTATTAAAATATTGCATGAATACAAAGGTTTTTATCTGGCACCAAAAGGATAAAGAGTGGGTGCCAGGCACAACTCCCTGGGGAGTTGATTCCACAGTTCAGGTGCAAGAGTTGAAAAGTTGCTTCCCATAGTAGTCACCCTCTTTATTTCCTTTATGGATGGCTCTGAGAAGCACCTCATACAATGACCTCAAAGTCAGTGTAGGATTATATGGGAAGAAGTATTCCTTTGGATAACCTGGCACCAAACCTTGTAGGTCTTTATTAACATGAGCACCTTGTCTCAGGCCTGCATTTCAATTTGGTAACCAACGGAGTTGGAAGAGGACTGGGGTAATATGTTCATATCGGCAAGTTCTCATCAGCAGCCTTGATGCTTTATTTTGAACCATTTGAAGTATCCAGGCCACCTTCAAAGGCAGCCCCATGCAGGGAACATTAAAATAATCCAAACAAGGTTACCAGAGCATGGATCACTATTGATAGCCTCTGCCTGGCCAATTAACCTATCCCAGCATGGATGCTAAATAGCATGTAGATGTTAAATAACATGGGGGATAAAATAGAGCCCTGCAGCATCCCATGTCATAACTGCCCTGGCACAGAGCGACAAAACCCCAGCGCCACCATCTGGAGTCACCCAACTAAGTAGGAGTGGAACTACTGCAAAACAGGGCCTCCAGCTCCCAACCCAGGTAGCCTATCCAGAAGGATACCATGCTTGATGGTATCAAAAGCCACTGAGAGGTCCACGAGAACCAAGAGGGTCACACTCCCTGTTTTCCTTCCAGCAGAGGTCATCCCACAGGGCGACCAAGGCAGTCTCCATAACAAAACCAAGCTTGAAGCCTGACTGTTCAGCCACTCCCCAAACACCTTACCCAAGAAAGGGATTTTGGCCACTGAACTTAACATCTTCTGGGTCTGGGCTGGATTTTTTCAGGAGTGGTTTGATTACAGTCTCCTTTAAAGAGACTGGAACCACTCCCTCTTTCAAAGAGGCATTTACAACCTCCTGGACCCAGGTACACATTCCTTCAAGTGAAGAGCCATGATATTTTATTTATTTATTTAAAACATTTATATGCCGCCCCCATCGCAACAAAGCCTCGGGGCGGCTCACAAAAATACAAAAAAACATAAACAATAACAATATAACAATTTAAAAGAAAAAAACATTTAAAACCCCTGGTGCATTCTCGACTAATTTAAAATCCTAATAAATACAATAATTTCGCAATTAAAATAAGTTTTAAATAAAAAGGTCTTAGCCTGGCACCGAAAAACAAATAATGACGGTGCCAGGCGGACCTCTCTGGGGAGCGCATTCCATAGATGGGGCACCACCGCAGAGAAAGCCCTCCTCCGGGTACTCACCCTCCTAATATCATTCACAGGGGGTTCCTGGAGAAGGGCATCCGTTGCTGATCTCAAGGGGTGGGAGGGCATATACGGGTGCAAGTGTTCCTTTGGATATCCAGGTCCCAAGCTGTTTAGGGCTTTATAGGTCGTAACCAACACCTTGAATTGGGCCTGGACTTCAATCGAGAGCCAGTGGAGCTGACAGAGAACTGGGGTTATATGAGAACAACGCCCAGTCCCCATCAGCAACCTGGCAGCAATGTTCTGCACCAATTGAAGTATCTGGACCGTCTTCAAGGGTAGCCCCACGTAGAGCGCATTACAGAAATCTAATCGGAAAGTTACCAGCGCGTGTGTCACTTGCTGTGATAGTCAAGGGTCAAGACTACAGGTGGTGAGCTGTACCTGGCCAAACACCTTGTCCACATCCTTGGACTTCAATAACTGAAACATATCGAACAAAATTGGACCAGACAGTGTTCTGGATGCCTCTATCAATGGAACTGTATTAAATATGGAGTCCAATTCATAGTGCATCCAAGCAACTTTATCCTCAAAGCGCTAAGCAAATTCATTATAGCAAGCTACTAAGGCTTCCATAATTTCCTTCTTAGGTCCTGTTTGTAAGAGGCTACAAATCTTTAGGACATATAAGGGTAGCCTGTGACTCATGGCTGCCCAAGCTGGAAGATTCTGCCACACATAAAATTTCTCACTCTGTGCACCAGTGCCACAATTGTGCCAGGCAAGAGGTGAGACTGACTCCTCTGATGCACCTTCTTCCCCAGTACAAGTGCAGGCTGATGCGAGCACGCCTGTGCAGGGAAAGAAGGAACGAGTAGAGTCAACCCCATGCACCTCTTCTCTGGTATTACTGTGGCAGCAACAGCAGGAAGTGAGAAATCAGAACATTCAGAACAGCATACTCAGTTTTCAAGACGAGGGATCTTTTTATGTTATCAGGCATCACAAGAGTTAAGGCAACACTGCCTTCAGGATTAGTTCTGCAGCCCAAACAAATAAACAAGTTACAGGTGAAGGTGACTGCACTAGAGACAGTCAATAGCAAGTAATCTGGTCAAAAAGGCAAGGCAAGGAGAAGAGAACTAGGGGAGATTGTCCACAGTTAAAATGTGAAACGGGCAAGATGATGGATCTAGAGCAGTGGGGAAAGGCAGAACAATCTGGGGAATCAGGGTGGGGTAGTGAGATTTCTGAAGCTTAGCCCTGTGACTCTAGGTCAAGTACTCAATATTAGTTATTCACTTTGTGAATTCAGACAATCTACAAGGCCAGAGCACAAAGGATACCAGCTACTTCCCTCTCTATAGATGGCAAATCTCAGACTGTAATGTAACTGATGAAGTTTAAAAGTCAATTTACTGTGAGTGTTAGCAGTCATCTGCCTACCAAAGTGCTCAATTCAGACAAATTGGTTTTAAACAGTGATTTCTTACACTTCTAAAGCATGAAGTCCCTTAAAAAAATTATACATCCTGGCTTCAGCAAAACTGTTTTGTCATTTTCTCATGCCTTTCTCTTCTCCTTATTTTACAATATTTGTACTGGAAATGTCAAAGGCCTGCAGACTTTTGATGTGCTTGCTGACTTTAAAGAAACCTGCATTGTTCATCAAGAATTAGTACACAATTCCATACTTCAGCAGAATATCATGCTTGTGAAATGCTGAAAAGCCGTTCAAAAGAGCCGGGCACATTGATGTGAAGGCGGCTATGGCAGGAGTGGCAAAAGCATCAAGTTTGCCCAGGCCACATCAGTGACAACCGCTTCACCAACTGCCTGTAAGTGACACTTTAGAGCAGCCACCCATGGCTCACTCTTCCCTTGTGCCAGCTATGGCACCTTTTGTGGTCACCACAGGTTTTCTTCCTCCCCTCACCGTTTTTCAGAGAATGCTTTTCATGATCTCCAGCCACATGCCCCAGCAACACACTTGGAGTGGCTTTTTTTTCATTCACTTTTTTTTTTTTTTTTTTGCGGGGGGGGGTGGGATAACTTGTACAAGCATATTGGTTATTTTCTTTTCACTTTTTTTGGAGGAATCATTATTTTAGGGTTGTGCAACTGCAACTCTGACTATCCCAAATGTACAGGACTAGTTCACAATACAAAAGATTGTTGCAGGTCCCATTTCCATGTTATGACGACTTTGTAGCCAAAAAGCAGGAACTATCCGTGGGCTCAGGGAACCCTGAGGTTTGCAAAACTGTGAAGGGAAGCTTTTAAAAAAGCGCTAAAGGACAAACCAACACCACCAGAACAATCGAACAGGAATTAGCATATTCAATGACCAGAGAAAAATGAGTGCCTGCTGAAGCAAAACCAACAAACTAAAGGATGGAATGCAATATTCTAAAATAGGGTTTGGCTGGCACACTCAACAGGAGTATTCCATGCTCTAGCATTCTGTTGAAAGACCCCACTTGTTTCCTCCCCAGCACACACTACCCTAAAATCATGCTTTATAAATCTGAGGGCAATTATTACCATTTTCCCCCAAATACGCAGCTGGATTAACCAGAGGCCTAGCTCATCAGCAGAGTGCAAAGAATGCCGAAGGTACATAGGAGTGGCCCTCTAGGATCAGAGCAAAGGTTCACGAACTTTCTCACAGCAGCCAACCTGCTGCCTTCAGGAAGCCCATGTGCTGTGCTTGCGGGCAGTGCAAGACCCTCCCCACCACCGGCAGCTGGCCCTCAGCATGTGGCATTCAGTGAACCCCTGCTCAGAACAAGGGAGGTTCCACTTGGCCAAAAGCTACTGATAAATCTTCACCCCCAGTTAAAGCAATCTAAACTTGTAACTACTGCTACATGCTGCAGCAGCAAATCCCATAAAGTGATGTATTCTTTATTTCCCAGCATCTCCAGTTTAACAGGTTCCTAAAGTGGCAAGGAAAGATTTGTCTGGACAACAGTACACTAGCACAGATATATTCCTGGAGCGTCTTCCTTGTCGCTTTATTCCTGAGATCACGTGGCTGAAATGAGGCAAAAAGGTGTAGCGGCAAGCCCCACGCCTGCTGCTGCAGACTTCTAGTGGGGGACCTCAAGGCAAACTAATCCTCTCTAGATTAGAGAGAATAAAGCTGTGGAAGATGGGGCTGCCTTGGTGAGAAGGGCCAGAAATGAGGCACGGTGTTTTGAGCTTTTTCATCTTCTATGCATTGCAGTCATTAAGATTGTTTTTAGCAGCATTCCCAGAGTGCTTCCGATCAAACTATACTGCATCCCTAAATGAAAATGTGTGCTATCTACCTACTACCTCCTCTGCACTCTGCATGATCCAGGAAGGAGAGGGGGTAACTCTTTTTCTGGCTGCAGCCCCTTCCTCATGTTAGAGGGAAAGGGAGGTGGACCAGGCCTCTTTTGTGGTGCTTTGGACACTTGCAGTGGCGTATGGGTATGGGGGAGGGCTGTGTTCCCTTTCAGTGACTCTTGAATCTTGATGTCCCCAGACAGCTGCCAGTATTGCTTATTGGGCTGGGCTGGAATGAAGCATGCAAGACTCTTCCTGCCTCAGGGAACAGAGAAACAGGGATCTCTAAATATAGGGGAAGGGCTCATATACTGACAACCACTTGTATTTGTGTGCTCAGATTAAACACATCATAAAGAATATGCACCCTCCCACAAAAAAACACCACCACCAAGCAAGCAATTTAAAATGCCACAGGTATACCTTCCAGTTGGCTAGCTTTTGAGATTCTATAATTTTTATAAATGCTCCCATGAGGATACCTAAAAAAGAAAAAGAGAGAAAACATGTGAAATATGTAAAGGTTTGCCCCATCAAATTCAAAATATTCAGATCCAAGGCTTGCCTTGAAGGAGTGACACTGTGACACTTATAATGCTGTGGGGCTGTAATGAATAGGGAAGTCATTTGATTCCATCTCCTGTCTTAAGGCACTATCCTACCACAACTGCTTGGCCCATCCCAACCCCAACAGTCAATTAACAACACAATAGAGACAATTGAATCATATAGTATTTCATGCAAGCAATTATAAAGCTCAGTAATGCAGCCAGGATAATATTGCAGTGCTCTTTCCAGACTGGGAGGAATACTATAAACAGTAGTACATTAACATCATAGGCTATACATGTTGTCTGGCAGGAAATGGAACCACCAACAAAGATCTTGTATTCCCCTTCTACCACCTTTGACCAGCCCTGCACTCTTTTCATCAACCTATGACACCTTAAGCCTAACCTGTCTCTTTTGATGTCATTACCTGAACAGTACCTGAGAGGCCATAGTCACAAGCTGAGATAACATGGGCCCTACAATTGGTATTGACTTAGCTTCTTTGATGTCACAGAAGGATTTGACAGGTTAGAGCTTACTGCTGTGGAACAGCTTGAGCACCTTATTGATTATAAAGCTAAGTGCAGCCTAAATACTGCAGTGCTCTCTCCAGCATGGAGAGAAGGTACCACTGAATATCCTTGATTCACATTCTTTCTCCCTTTTGCCTCTGATTCTCTTCCTTTCTCCCTGTTGCCCCATACATGGTTGAATTTTGACTGCAAGCTCCTCAGAGCAGGGACCTGCTGCCTTCTTGTCTCCATGAAATTTTATATCGAAATATATATAACAAAATAAAGGCAAGATGATACATAGTAATATAGCAAGCTTGCTAAAGAAACAAATAAATGCACTAATTATAATTCTTAGCATATAGCAAATATACTTCTAGAATATCTACAGTAAAATGGCTTAAATACAAGCTCAGTTTCTAAAGACAGTGTAAAAAAATGAAGTTTATAGAGCATGTAAAGGGCATGTCCCCCTCTTGGATGCACATCTTAATGCGGTGAGGGGGGTTAAGAGTGAACGAGAAGCCAAGAGCAATGCCACCAGGAGGTCCAAGTCTCTCACTAGCCTGGTCTCCTAGCAGGGTTATCCAAGGCAGAATGGTCAAAGCTGTGACACAGACTAAGCTGTAACTGTCCTTTTCAGGATAATGGGTCACATCAATGAAAGTGAATGGATTTCGCTAATGGTAATGGAGATGGAGAAGGGCAGTTACTGGACAGCAGTGGTAGTCAAAGGTGATACTGGCAAAGGATCATTCACAGGTAACAGCAATGAAGCTCAAAGTAAATTTGGTTGGTACTGTGCAAAAGAAGGTAATGGTAAACCAGTTCTGAATAATCTTCTCTTGTAAATCCTATGAGGGAATTATTCAAAATGAAAGAAGAGATAGTTTGAAACAAGAAAATGAGACTCCCAGGTCAGAAGGCTTTCAGTCGGCTACTGGGAAAGAGCAAATGACAAGTACAAATAGCACTGTTGCTGATGATAGAAGTAGATCAAGGCTGACAAGAAGTCTAGTGGCTTACATATACGTACCCAGGCAAAAGGAGAGTCCAATGCTGTGTGGGACATACAAACAAAATCAAATAGACTATGTAGTTGAAAGCAGAAGGTGGAGAAACTAGGGTAAGTGGAAGACAGAAGAAGAGGAGGAAGACCAAATATGAGGTGGTTGAACCCATGAAATAAGCCAGAGCTTTGAGTTTACAAGGGTTTAGCAGAGCTGAGAAGCATAGAATATTTTGGAGGGCATTCATTCATAGGATCACCATACATCAGAGGCGACTTAAGGACATGTAACAATAACATAAAAAGAGTATCTGTATGTTTTATTTTTGGTTTACTTGATTAGAATTTGATCAAAAATGTAAAAGGTTTCAACAAAGGAAATAAATGAACACAATGGTGTCATCATATCTCTTACAGTTCAGAAGATTCCTTGCTTACTGCACTCAGTAAGTTTACATACTTATAGGCTGGGTTGTAAATCACAGGACTTTGCACAATCACAATAAGCCACTGTGGTTTATTTGCTCCAGTGTGCATGATGGTCATATGCAGGGGCTGGATGCTTTTCCAAGGCATCCAGCACCTCACTCCTGCCCAGCCTCCAAGGGGATCATGCCCCAAGTGGAATAGAACTGAGCAATAGCACTGAGGGACAAGCGACTGATATCAGGCCTCCCATCCCGCCTTGTAACTGCGGGGCAAGTATTTGCAGTTCAGCAAGCCATGTAAGAATGAGGATCTTTGTGACCGTGTAAGAACAAAGCTTCTCAGTGAGGCAAGGGGGGTGAGGGTCCTTTGCTTCTAGCCAGCCCTAAACTAGGCATGCACCACTCTCTTGCTCCTGCTTGAAGTAAGGATATGCTATAACCTCATCCATGCTGGCGCTGGAGGCTGTGGCAATGGATGAGCTCTGCTGGGCCTCTCTCACCTTATCTATCAGTAGTGTTTCTCCAGCATCTGGCTTGATAGCTGCCCTGTGTTGAGCCCTGGCTGCTCCAGCAGGGTGATCTCTTTAAAAGCTGGCCTCTCCTTCATGCAGGCTGCTGCAAAGGCTTGGAAGGCAGTGGTGGGAGCAGTTGTGATCTCCTCCTTGGAGCACTGGCCTGTGGCTCCAGAAAGCTGATTGCAGTGGCCTGGGCAGTAAAAGCAGCTCCTGCTTGCTGGTGAGCGATGGCTCTGGATGGCAAGGTCTCGGTCCAATCCCTCAGGTTGGCATTGGCACGCAAAGGGATTCATGGTCCAAAAGAACCACTCTAGGTACTTCCCCTCATAGACCAGGAGCATCTTAGCTTGCTTCAGGTACTTTGGGCCTCCCTTCATCCACTGGCCAACCCTACTGGTTCCTTTAGGTACTGGTCATCCCAGATGAGACTAGGATGCACTGGAGATATTGCTCCCAGTATTTCTGCAGACAGTCCATTTATTTCAGCTTCCCACTGCAGGGCGATGTTACTTCAACACTCTTGACTGCCTCAAATTACAGCTTGTACCAGTGGATAACACAGCTCAAGCTCAGAAACTGGGTGTAGAGCTCTGGATCTTCATGGAGCATTATGCAGACCTGCAACTGACAGTAGTCTACAGTCACCCCCCTTCTGTACTTCACCTGTTCTTCACACAAGTTGCAATCCATCTCCTCTATACCCATCAGCTTCAACAAGATTTCTCATAGAGGACCAGGGTTTAGGTACCGCAGGTACTCCACTTCTGCCATGTTTGTGTCCCTAAAGGCACAATTAAAAGACACAAAAAAGTCATCGACAAAGTTCCTTACTTTCTGAAGAGGGGAACTGGCAGAGGTCCATTGTTGATGAGGGGACAATTGGAAGGGTACAGACAGCCCATCCTTGGCAGTTCAAGACCCATTCTGTGTCTTCAGCCTCCTGGGCAAGGTTTCTGTCTTTAGCCTTCCTGGTAAGCCCCCTCTCTCCCTTCTTGGCCTCCTTGACAAGTCACCTCTCTTCTTTTTTGGCTTTCCCGGTAAGCTTCTTCTCTAGTTCTAGCTCCATCAGCTTGAGTGGGAACAGCCACTGCTCAGACAGGGTGGGAGTCTAGAGGTTGGTAACACTGCATACAGTGGGGCAACTTCAGTCTGGAGGGGGCACTTTGTCACTCATCTCCCTGGCTGTGTCAAAAGCTACGGACTACTGGCCACTTTTGACAGCAAGAGGACACACCGTTCTCCCTATTCTAGGCCTACTGGTTATGTTGCAGAATTGACAATTACTGAGGGAATGACCCCAAGAAATAGTGTAGTGAATTCTGCAAATTAAAAGTGAAACACAATTCTGGTTGTGATTGTTTCAATCCAAGAAAGCATACAGGAGCTATTCTTTATTCCTACACAGGAAGACATGGTTTTGAGACCTGAAAGTAGGTCAGAAAGCAGCTATTTTAAAACAGGCAGATGCCATTCTGACCTACTGAAGCATTCGAAAGAACATCAGATGAGATGCTTCCTATAATGTAGGACAACTTGAAAAGCTGAAGCTTGTTTGCCTTCATACAAATTTCAAGGTGTCTGAGGAGGACAGTTCATACAACACTGCAAAAAAGAGGTTTGTGGAAGGAACAAAAGAACTGAAACATCAGAAGAGAAAGCCATTCTGGTAAAATGAAATCCCAAGAAGGAAGACAGTATGTGAGGCAACCATTTCTTCTGTTAGTCACTTTACGCAGTAGTAACAAGAAATCCTGGTTTGCTTTTCCTACATTTACTGGCAACACAATGAAAGAGATGTGCAGGTGACTCTTCACTAACTGTAGTAAAGCCTTCCTGCCACAAGGAACACAAAACCAAAAACAGATATGCAGGGTACTCAAGTGGAGCAGCGCAAACTGGAGAAAGATTTGAACAGCCTGAGGCCTCTATCTGAATGTGGAGGCACTCTCAAGAGGGACTGCATTCCAGAAGTGGGCAAAGCCAAAATAGGTGGGGCCACAGGCAAAAGGGTGAGGACAAACCTACCAAACTACCAGCACATTTTAACTTAAAGCTCATTTTAGCTCTTACTGCCCCTAATTAAGTATTACCAGAAGCATTACAACCTTTAAATTGCAGGGGTGGGAGACTGCACAAAAGCCAGGAAACCACTATTTATTTTTGTTTGCTTATTAATTCATTATATTTAGGTTGTACCCTTTCAAGGAACTCAAAGTGGCTTACATTATTCACTGTCTCCTCTCAATTTATCCTCACAACAACAATCCTATGAGTTAGATTAGGCGAAGAGTCTAATGTGACTGGCCCAAAGTCACCCAGTGAGCTCCATGGTTCAGCAGGGCCTAGAACCTGGAGTTCCCAGATCCCCAGTCCAGCCCTTTAACTATGCTCGCTCTAATTGGCTATTGGGTAACAGGGGAAGGGGGCACGGGCATTTGCAGAACCCTGTAAGACCAGACTGGGACC